AAACAGTTAAGATGCTCTTAAACTGATGATCTACCTATTTTATATCAAATTTATTTTCATCAGGATGTGAAGTTCAGACTGAGACTTTCTCAAAGCTAAGTTTCTGGCACCAACACTGTGCTTACCCCAATAGAGGCATAATTTTATTTTTTTAAAAAAATAAATAATTTTGTTCCAACTTCAATCATAGGCTGCCCCCTTCTTGATTTTGGTGAAGTCTTGCTACCGCAGGAGTTCTTGTGGAATTTTCCCACAAAAAAAAAACCAAACCAACAACTTTTCCTCCTCTTGATGCTCTACTTGCAATCCTGAAAGGGGAAATATACAGGGAGAGTCTGGCTTTCAGTGTTTGCATCTGATTGAAGCTGGTTTTAGTGATGTTTTAACAACCTTCTGTTGCTGCTTTTAGTTTCATTCTAAAGGTAAGCCATACATGATCGACCTAGTTCATGCTTCTGTGCAAACTCTGCAAGTACAGAAAGTTATGAACTAGATTTGCTCAGATCAAGAGAAAAATGCCCTAGTAAAACACTTTTTAGATGCTTTCATTGGATTTTATGTTTATATGTACTTGAGTGTCCTCAGGGGGGAGCAAGCTCAGGAAATGGGATCTAATACCTTGGGGAGGTCATTAAAAAGTAACTTGCTGGCATCACAAAACTCTTATCACGAGTATGATTCAACTAGGATTCAGTCATACTGGTGTGCTTCCAGAAGGAATGAAGCTACAAGAAGTCTTTATCAGAAGTTGTTTCTAAATAAGTTGAGTAATGTGCTTTGAATCCGGCCAAAATAATGACTGAGGAGGGAAGAAATATGCAAGTGGATAAATCACAAAACAGAAACGTACTAGAGAAACAGTGAGATTGATTTCCTTTAACTGGAAGAGTTTATAATATATTCCTTGAAGTCAGGCTGCAGCTATTGTTTTCATTGTAAATGGCCTCTGGTGACTTCTGCATCTTCCAATTCACGTGTGTGGAAGTGCAGCTACAATTCCCTGGAAACAAGGATCTTTTCAACAATCTCAGCACACTGGTAGCATTGTAAGGACTATCCCAAAGGAAGGTTCTTCCTGGAGCTCTCTGTAGTCAAGGAGGCCACATGGAACATACAAGGCTGATGAGTCTTAAATTCATTGTGAAATCTGGCCTAGAAAGTAGAGTTGGATCTGAAGTGAGGTGTGTGGCAATTTTTTGGAATGATGTTGAGAAATTTGTATTTGAAGGAATTGGAGAATACTGCTCTTGAGGTTCGTGGTCAGTGCCAGAGAACAGCAAATATCTGTCCGGGAAAATTATCAACAGGCTCTCAGTCTAAAGTGACTGTATGACCAGAGGCATTATTTTTCAAAGCATCCATGAAGAGCAGTACTTAGCTATTGAAATTCCCAAATACCTCCTTAAATGCAACTGTTGTCTTAATATCTCTGTTCACATTGTGTGCTCTAGAAATAATTAGGCTCAACTCCTCATAAATCTCACTTCTAAAGCAGAAAAGCGTTTTCCACGCTCTAATCTTTCCAAAATAAATTCAGAGGCAAATGTAATAGTCTCTTAGTCTCACTGTCAAATCAACAGTATTAACAGCTTATAAACCAGTGGAGTAACCAACTTCACAACAATATTTATAAGGGAGATTTATTGGTGTATCATTATAACAGCTTCTTCACTACAGCCATTTACAGTTCAAAAGCCTTAATTGAACGGGAAGAGGGTGTTAAATTTCAAACAAAGGCTTTCCCTATCTAAAACACTTGTCTGAACTGCTTATCTGTTGAATTCTTGAAGTCTGTTTTTTTTTTCTAACTGTAGTCTCCGGTCCTGACTTGTTGCTTGAAGAAACTATTGAAATAGTTGTTTCTGTTTCATTGGGGTACAGATTTGCCAAACTTAGTAAAAGAGTCTAATGTATCCTTATAAATATCAGAGTCCCAGGAAGAGCAGTAGGCAGAGAAAAGGAATGGTCGTGTTTTCCTTTGCAGGTGACCCTTTATTATACCTTTTCTAAATCTAAAACAACATCCACAAAATCCTTCTAATAAAAAAAAGCTTGTGTACTTTTGCCTTCCAAAAAAAAAAAAAAAAAAAAAAAAGAATTAGGGTGGGGAAACTAAAAAGGCCTCTTCTTGTTCCATGACTGCTCTATTCAAGAGAAGAGGGATCAGACTTTCAGACTCTTCCAGGCTCTGTTTGCCAAGTAGGCAAGGAGAGAGTTCATGTCTTTCCCTGTGATGCCTCTGTAAGACCTGACCTGAGTAGCACGGGGCAAGCACAGGGATCTTGTGTCTCGCAGTTTGGTTTGGCAGCACCATTGTGTTGAGGCAGCGCAAAGGGCGAGTGCTTGTTTTTTGGGTGACCCCGTTTTGTACCTTCTGTTTCTTTCCTTTGTTGTCCTATCCTATTGACTTCTGCCCTTCCTTCATGTTTTCTTCCCTATTCTCTTCCTGCTGAAGTGCCTGTTGTATGGAGGATTAAGCTGGAGCCTTTCAGAAATGGATGTTGTGCGTAGTACCTACCCATGGGTATTTAAGGCCATGACTTGGATTACAAAAGTCTCCTTGTGTTAGTCCTGGTGAATATATTCCTTCTTTGAATGTCTGGATATGAAATAGATCACAATGTTCCCATTTTCAGCTGTGGTTTTCGTGAAGAGTAGAATTTTTTTAACCTCTCCTCACCGTTTAACTCTTGGTGGGTAACATGAGGAAAGGGAAGCTGGCCAGGAAAGTGTATGTTTTGTGTGGTGAAAATGAGGGTCCCGAGTCCTTTATTGTATTTGAACTCTTTCCATTCAAAAACGCATTAGGAGGAATTGTACTAAGTGGTAGGTTGGGTGCCTCCAGGGCTTCTCCTTGATAGTAGTTTTAAAGGGTTTTAAATTGAGTCTGAAGGCATGCAAATTCTAAAAAAATCTTTGCTTTTTTTTTTTTTTTCCCCTCCTTCCCCTTTTCTCTTTAAACAGGAATTTTTGCTTATCTGAACTACAGAGTGCCTCGTACTCGGAAGGAAATATATGAAACCCTGATAAAAGGATTACAGAGACTGGAATACAGAGGATATGACTCTGCAGGTATGTAAACCAACTCAAAAAATTAATTTTTAGCAACTAGGAGCTCATTGCATGATTTTTTTGGGTACTTTCAATGTCTGGCACGTTGGATTTTTTTCTTTATTCCACAGATTACCAGATCGAAACTAATTATCTTGATTCTTGGAGTACTTCAGCTTTCCTCAGGACTTTAAATGGGGTGTTTAGCTCTGTAATTAGATGGTTGAGGTTTAGTACACATGAGCAGAACAAACAGGGTATGAGGAAGAAGATCTCTGTACGGGGCCATATAGTTTGTGCCTCGGCCTTTTCTGTGCATGTGAGTCCCAGTGAAAGGATGGGGAAGATTAAACTTGTATTTAAGTTTGAGATGGTTCATTTCATCAGGCAAAATATTTCAGACTGTCCTTAAGCAAAATTTGAGATGGCTCATGTATGTTTTGATCTATGCAGTGGATATAGGCTTCATGTACTTTCATTTGAACATACACAAGTCTTGCAACAGACTTCAAATATATCCCTTTCAAGGATAATTTAAAAAGTATTGCTTCAGTGGTGTGTACTTGTCTGTATTTTTTCAGTCTTTTCTTCATCCAGTGTATTTAACGTTTTAAATAACACTTGTGACTGTGTCCTATATTGCAGGAGTGGCAATTGATGGAAATAATAATGAAGATAAAGAAAGATTCATCAAACTAGTTAAGAAAAGAGGAAAAGTAAAGGCCCTGGAAGAAGAGTTGTACAGTAAGTGTCTTAAAAATGACCCCTTTACTTTGGCCTCCCAGTCAGATATAATCTGCATCTCAGCAGAAAGCCAGACCGTAAAATTGCAGTTATGATTTTGTATCAGAAATAACTGCATTGTGAAATCCAATATCAGTTAAACTGTTTGTGCCCCTCAAACCTGCACTTTAAAAGCAAACTGATATTTAGATACAGCACTGTGAAATTATCAGTCTACTCTCCCCTCTTTTGGTTGCTTCTTTGTTCAAAACCTGGGCTCCTTTGGTGCTTTACTCATGTGACTTCTGTGCTGGAGGGCTGAAATGCTGAAACATGCACTGTGACAGAATTTACGACCATTTAAGCAGCTGGCTGTCATCACAATCTGCTTTATGCAGTGCTTCCATCTGTGAAGAACTGAAGCTGTGTTTTAATACGTTTACACTATAATTTGTAGTAATGGGGTCTGTTAGCCTGGCTGTTGGTATGGGCTGAAAATGCCCCAGTCTTGGCAAACAAAGTTTTAATCACAGTAGCTTGAACTTTCTGATGTGTAATGTTGAGAAAGCAAATGGTTTAAAAAAAAAGCCAGAAGATAACTTTTAGATTTTTGCTTGTAGGAATTCTCTTTGTTTTACTCTGTGTGTGAGAGACAGAGAGAGAGAGAGAAGCAGCATTAAATATTCAGTAAACTGAATTTCTCGTTTATAGAACAAGATGACTTGGATTCAAAAACAGATTTTGAAACACATTTCGGAATTGCTCATACTCGCTGGGCAACCCATGGTGTACCAAGTGCAATAAACAGTCACCCCCAGAGATCAGATAAAAGGAATGGTACGTAATCTCTGCAGCACTTGAACTGTATGAATCTGAAATGATTCAATCCACATAGCACATATGTTATTACTAATGTTATGATATCTATTTTTTATACTGGGGTTGAGCTGTTGCCATTCTGGACACTTTCACAATAAAATATTCTCTTCTCAGGCTAAAGTAACACTGTAAAAAATTAATGAAATCTGTTTTCTGAAAATTGCAAGTTAGTCAAAGTACAACATTCTCTTTATGAAAGGTAAGATTGAAAATGTGAAGTGGTTAATATTGCCTGGCCCAGAAAAGAGAGATTTCATATAATTTTTTACTTGAGATGGCTTGATTCTCTTCTAATAGGTGTAGTTTAGAACTGCCTTCATGATTTGGAACTGCCTTCATATGTGGTCAGAATTTGTAAGGTTCTGCTTTTGTTCTCCATGTTGTGATAAACTGTAGGTTTGAAAGCTAGAAGAGGTAGTTTTGAGTGTACTCTTAAGGGCTTTCTTGTTCCCTTTAATTTTGTGTTCTGAGTTAAATATCTTAATTATTCACTGCTGATGAATGTGTGTATTCTTCCTTTTAGAATTCGTTGTTATCCATAATGGAATCATCACAAATTATAAGGACCTGAGAAAATTTCTGGTGAGTCTGTGCCAACTTGGTTCTAAAACTAGAAAGTAAATGCTCCACCAACTACTGTCAGATCTTTCATGACTTTGGTGGAATCTGAGTTCAAGTTTCTTAATATAATTTATAAAATATTAGTGCGAAGAAGTGTGCCTAATAAAAATACTCAGTAGCTAGTGAAGTGCAATATGTTCTTGTAATCCTAAATGTGAAGTATTTATGAGTAGAGTAGCAGATTGTGCCCTCAGACTCTTTGAGAGGGTGTGTGGAGTGGGCTCCCTCCTGTCTCTTTGTTTCTTGACAGATGCTAAACAAGTCTTACTGCATGTCTTATTATGTTATTTCCCAAAAAGACTTATTCTATGACAGGATAAGTCTTTATATTTTGTCTACAGTGATTTCTATCCACTAGTCCAATGTAGTGCTCTGCCTGTGCAGTTTCTAGTGAGAGGCAGCTGAGAGACTCTTCAGTGCTTCTTGTCTGAGGATGAACAAGCTTTTTACTCTTCTATATATTTCAGGAGAGCAAAGGCTACGAATTTGAATCTGAAACAGATACAGAAACAATCCCCAAACTGATCAAATACATGTATGACAACAGAGAGAGTGAGGACACCAGTTTTTCAGCCTTGGTAGAAAGAGTTATTCAACAGTTGGTAAGTGGGATGTTGCTTTTTTCCTGTACCACTTTACAAGCTACTTGTGGGGTTCCTGCAAATTCTGCATTTATGCATTTAGAACCTCTGCAGGAATTCTTAGAAGGTGCTGCAAATAACACTTCTAGGTCTCTAAACAATGCTTAATAGACCAAGAAATGAGATTAAAATTTTGGAGACTTCAAAGGCTTTTCAATGTTAAATCTTTAAATTGTAGCAGCGGTAGGTTTGGTTTGCTGAGTTTTTTTGTTGTCTGTTTTTGTTTTTTTTTTAAGCAAGAGATTATCGCCGTTTTTTAGTGAAGAAATTAAATTAAAAAAAAAATTAATAGGAGCCTCTGGGGGTTGAAATCTTTCATAAAGGGCAGTGTGTTCTTAAAGGCTATTCTGATCATGTTAAAACACTGCTGTGATTCAAGTTTGGCCAATGCCTTGGCTCCCCTATTTGGAACTAGATCTGACAAACTGTACTGATTTCCAGACTGTGAAGTGGGAGTCTACTGTTACTCAGTATGTGAATGCTTGAAAACTTTGATAGCTGCATTGCAAACTTGGAGAAAGCTGGCTTTGTTTCCTCCCCCAGTCCCTGGGCAGATGTTTTCCCTCCCCTTCCTGCAGTTTCTTACACTCTTTTCACCTCCCCTGTCTCCTCTTTAAAGCAGCTCTGTAGGATTCCTTGGAGCAGGGCTGGAATACACACGGAGTGAAGGCCTGGGTGGGTCAGGAGGGAATAGTGGTGAAGCCACATAGCTGAGGGGAAGGGTGGCTTCACCTGGCCACAGAACAAGGGCAGAACAGCCTGACTGGAGCCCTTCCATGAGAGGAGGGAATGTCACCATCTCTCGTCTGCTTGCAAAGTGTGGGGGCCTTTGCTCCTGCTTTTGGAATACTCCTCCAGTTTGCCAGCTGTGTTAGTACTACAGAGATGTTTCTGGCTTTTGTTCTTGTGTTCTGGATTTTTTTTTTGGTGTGCGTTTTGTTTCTGAAATCCATTAACTAGAATTTGCTGCTTAAACTGGGAATAGTAACTCCACAGTTTTAGCTGAAAATGCATGATAATGCACTACATGCACATTCTTATTGAAAGTCTTACTAAAAGTAAATGTCTAACAGTCTTCATGTTGATTATGAGTAACACCTCTGACATTTTCATAACCCTAGAAGTTGCTGTTTTTATTTTTAAAGAGAGGCTAAGTGCTCACTTCCTGATCTTTCTGCTGTTGCACTGCTAATGTCCATGTTGGCTTGTTCTGCTCCATGGCCAATTCCTTTAAAGGTGCAGTCTGCCCTCCAGGAAGAGATTCCTGATAGCAGTAAAGAGTGTTCCTTCAGAGCCTCTTCAGGGAGAGGGGCCCCAGTTTAATGGGATGCAACTAATTGAGATAAGCTGCTGAGGATGTCTTCTTTTTTTCTTTTGTTTTCTTGGTTTCCAGGAAGGTGCTTTTGCATTGGTTTTCAAGAGTATCCATTACCCAGGTGAAGCTGTTGCTACCAGGTTAGTAAAAGTCCAATTTTATACATAATTCATGCTGTAGGTTAAAAAAGGCTAACACCTCTTAAAGATACTAGAATATTGATGTGTAAAGTGCTTAATTAACCAAAAGTCAGTGAGTCAATAAAGAAACTCAGCGTATCTTCTGTTTGTGAAGTTGTATTAAGAGTGTGCTGGCATTTGTCCTATATCAAAAAAGGGACAGAAAGGATATTGTTCAATTTTACTTCACATGGAGTAAAGACTGAGATAGGTATATTCAGGTTGGTTAAAAGGCCATCAGAGTAATAGGTTACACAAATAGTGTTCTATAGTTGTCATAGCACTTATGATTTCTCTTTAAGTTCTACTTTTATTTATGACTTGGAAAACAACTTTCAGGAAATGCAAGGATATTAAAATAGCAAATGAAGTAGCAGTGGGAAATAAAGCCTGTTTTATACTATAACCCAAAAGCCCATTGCTTCTGTGGTCTAAAATAGGACTGCATTAAAACTGTGGAACAGCCAGCTGTACCATCACTCTAGCTGGAGAACATCTTCTGAAATGAACTATTCTATATGTGGTTCAGGTTTGGGTTTTTAGGACTGAGGGTATTTAGAGAAGCTAGTCTTGTACTCTGAGGTGATGGTGGAGGGTGACTTGTCCTTTTATTCCTGTGATTTTTTTTTTTTTAACAGTCTTCAGTGTGGCATGTGACCCATATAATTAAAAAATTATCTTCATACTCTACAGTTTCAGAGGTGCAGTAATGATTTGGCAAATCTTACAGAAGCAAGCCAAGCTGATTTAACTCCTGCCATGTAATGGCTTTAGGATCATGGTTGAGGAGGGTCTTTCTACTTAGGAAGCTAGATAGGATACTGTCTTTCAACTTCACAGATGTCCTTTGACTTATTTGTGTGCACGTTTCTCTTCATGAACTTGCTTGTTTTCCGTTTTGTAGGAGGGGGAGTCCTTTGCTCATTGGGGTAAGGAGCAAGTACAAGCTTTCAACTGAACAGATTCCTGTTTTGTATAGAACATGTAAGTTGATTATTTTTAAGAACTAAAATTACTGTTATTTTATAATTAGAAATCGGGTTAATTGGTCTTTGTACTGTAAAAGTACCAGCTGATGCCCCAAATAGCTTCTTATCTATTATATTTTTATACTACTGAATGTGCAGTTCATGTAAAAGACCCATCCCCCAAAATACTTGTGTTACTGTGGTATCCTGAACCTGTATAATCTGTAATCTCTGACTTGAACAGAACTGGTCTTGCATTTAAAATATCTGGTTTCTTTAATAGGCAACATTGAGAATGTGAAGAACATCTGCAATTCCCGAGTGAAAAGACTGGACAGCTCAACCTGCCTTCATGCTGTTGGGGATAAGGCAGTAGAATTCTTCTTTGCTTCAGATGCAAGGTAGTAGAAGTATTTAAACTTTTCTGAAAATACTGGTTCTTGTTTAGAAGTGAGATAGTTCTGGAAATCTTATGCTGTCTTGCTGCTGTACAATTGCTTTCTGATAGAATAGCTTTTAATTCAGGTAACTTCATAAAGCCCCCAGGCTCAGGTACTTGAAAAATGTGAAGGTTTGTCACCAGCATCTGAGCTTCAAACAAGTGCAGCCAGCTGCTGACCTCTATGTGAAAGACATCCAGTGCAGGAAAGTAATTTGGGTAGAAATGGACAATATCAGCTAAATATTTGGGCAGACTGTAGGTTAGTCTGGGTTGTGGTGTCAGAAGAGGAAATAGTGGTGTGGTTCCAAGCTTGGCAGATACCTGGACATCAGGTGCACATTTATATCAGAAACGAGATTGGGACCTTAGCGGGATCCCTCAGGGACAGGGGGAGGCAAGACCAGATCAGCAGGAACTGATGCAGTGGTTCCTGAGCCGCCTCCTCTGGGTTGCTGTGAGAGTGCAGGAGGAGCAGCAGATGGAGCCATTGCCTTTGAGATGACTCTGTTTTTGCCCAAAAGGAAGAGACAGAAGCGCGGCTGGAAGTGCTGCTGTGACATATTTAATTGCTTTACTATTACAAGCTCTGATGTGTCAGGTTTTGTTTTGTTTCTGTTTTTTTTCTGCAGTGCTATCATTGAGCACACCAACAGAGTGATTTTCCTAGAAGATGATGACATTGCAGCAGTAACTGATGGGAAGCTCTCAATTCACCGTCTGGAGCGTTCGGCCAGTGATGATCCTTCCCGGGCCATCCAAACCTTGCAGATGGAATTGCAGCAAATCATGAAGGGTGGGTTGAAACATCTGTAAATGAATATCATAAAAGATGGATGGTTACTGTTTGTGAAGTAGATAAGGCAGAAAACTCTTGATTTGTTGTGAAAATTATATTTAGGTTATTTCTACTGGGAGCTGACAATTCCAAATTTTAAGATTGAGAGACGATGGGCAGTCTGGCACTCTATCCATTTTAGTCTTGGAAAAGTCAAAGATGCTTCTATTCAGTTCAGTATTTAGTGAAAATGTATCTAATGTTAACATGTTGTAATTGTTGGCAGAGTTTGATTGTAAACTAAGAATTTATGCAGAACACAAAAGTTTCTTTAAAAACTAATTTAGTTCCCTTGTCAGTGTTGGGAAATGAAACCAACCAACCAGAGTGAATTACCAATCCTCCCTTTCTTCTTGCCTATTCCTGAGGTTTTGTTTAAGCTGATACAGTCAAATTATCTTGCTACGACAGGTTGTCTTAAAAGTTCTCTTTGTATCTGGAATAGGCTTAAAATAACAAACCTAAGCATTACCATGTCATGCTTTTGTAAACAGGTAACTTCAGTGCCTTCATGCAGAAGGAAATCTTTGAGCAGCCAGAATCAGTTGTCAACACGATGAGAGGAAGGGTGAATTTCGAGAGCAGCACAGGTAACTCAGAGCAGGTGTTCAGGCTGCATTGGGCTTGAAAACTGTAAATATACCAATCAGAAAATAAAATGCACCATTGATATATGCATATTTATTTGTCTTCAGTTTTGCTGGGGGGGCTGAAGGATCATTTGAAGGAAATCAGAAGGTGCCGAAGACTGATCATTATTGGCTGTGGGACCAGTTACCACGCTGCAGTAGCTGTATGTTCAGCCTTGGCTCAAATGCACACGTAACTCTTAATTGCTGGGGTTTTAGACAACAGCTCTTCATCTGCTTTTTCTTCTATCTCAAACTTTGTATTTCATTGAGGGGTCTCACCCTTTTATTTAGTTTTCCTTTGTGCCATGTTCTTTATTAATGCTCCAATGCCCATTAACCTACCATGCTAGAAGCTGACTTTTTTCACCTTGGTTTTTAAAGCTCTGCTGAGCTGTTATTATCAGTTTTTCTCATAAGAATCCATTTAGATTATCTCTGACTCATAAGATGCCCAGACATTAATGGGTGGCAATAGTAACAAATATTGTGTTGCTGCTTGAATACAGACTCGACAAGTATTGGAAGAATTAACTGAATTACCAGTGATGGTGGAACTTGCCAGTGACTTCCTGGATAGAAACACCCCTGTATTCAGGGATGATGTGTGCTTTTTCATAAGCCAGTCAGGTGAGCTGCATTTACTGTTGAGTGTGTGCTGTAAGATTGCTTTCCATCGCATTTTGCGCTGTGTGGGCGTGAATACAGTTATGTAGAATTTTATGCTTTTCAGGAATCATTACTATCCTCTGCCAACCTGAAGTCAAGATGCAAATGTTTTCCAGGTGAAACTGCAGATACACTTATGGCCTTGAGGTATTGCAAAGAACATCGTGCTCTGACAGTTGGCATCACAAACACAGTTGGAAGCTCAATATCCAGGGAGACTGACTGTGGGGTACATATCAATGCAGGACCTGAGATAGGTGTGGCAAGCACAAAGGTAATTGCTGTTCAGTGTCTGACTTTCATGCTTCAGCCCTGTGGAATCCAATTAAAATTTTAATTGTAGCACTTCAAACTGAGATCATATTAACTCTCTGCAGACTTAGCTGTTAAATGTTTTGTTTTGTCTGCAGGCTTATACCAGCCAGTTCGTGTCTCTTGTAATGTTTGGCCTAATGATGTCTGAAGACAGAATTTCCTTGCAGAAAAGGAGACAGGAGATCATTAGTGGACTAAAATCATTGCCAGGTATATTGATATTTTGGGTTTGAGGAGGCATAGGGGATGTTGGCAATATAAAATACTCCTCAGGGATTTTTCTTTCTCATTTAAGTTTCACTCTCCCCCACCTACTGAAAGGGAGACAATATGAGAAAAATGCACTACTCATTTCTGCACCATTTGCCAGTTTTACAAGCACCCTTCCAAGAAACTTGGCAGGAAGATTGGAATTTTCATGGGCTGGGTTTTCTAATTACAATAAAGTAGTTTTGCATGAGAAATACTATTTGATCTCCTAAATTGACAGTTTGAGTTTTTTAAAGCCTTCCACTTTAAATCAGGATAGATAAAAGGAAACTAATTCAAGGTGACTTTAAAACGAATGTTCACAACTTCCTTTAAAAATTCAAACGGGATGCATGAGCACTGCTTAAACCAATAGTAGCTTTAAATTTATTACTGTAAATAAGGCTGGAGAAAATATCCTTAAACTGCACTCAAAGTTACTAAGTTAGTGGTTGAATTCTATTAAGTGTATTTGTTCTATTAGATAATTAGAGCACGCTACTACAAGCAAACTATTTTTTCCAGTTAAAAAAAATTTAATATTTTTTTTCTGTGCCTCAATAGAGATGATTAAAGAAGTCTTGTCCTTGGATGAGAAGATACACGATTTGGCTCTTGAACTGTACAAACAAAGATCGTTGCTGGTTATGGGTCGTGGGTATAATTACGCCACTTGTCTGGAAGGAGCTTTGGTAGGAACTTCTCAGTATTGTAGAATGTTATTTAAAATGAGATTTTGTGGCTTCTGCAACATAGATTATTTCTAATATTTCATTACAACTTAATTCTGCTGCAGTAAAGCTGTTATCTATAACTAGGAGCATTTAATTGAACACATACATAAGGTGAACCTGGATACAATATCAGTTTCTTGTTTCTTTCACGTAATAAATGCAGCGTTTAATGGGTCTATTTAAAAACCAGAAACCTAACAGTTTACACTACTGACCCGTTTGAAAATAACATCAGAAAAACCCAATGTGCTGGTGTTGAGAAGAGGTGCTTGTGAAGGAAACTCATGAATTATGTTATGAGCATTCTGGTGGATGGACACATACCCATCTCTCAGAGGAGTTTGAAGTGTTAAGGGTAGACTGCATCAGCCAAGGTTGTGCTGGGGGCTTGGTTCTTAAAGTTCCTGTTGATTATTCCAGCTCTTTATCTGCAAATGCATGTGCCTGGGCAAGCTCTGCTTCCACCCACAGCCTGCTGGAAATCCCAGCAGACAGTCCATGTGTTATCACTAATAACTGATCTTTGAAAATACCAACTTGATACCACATGTCTGCATTGAAGTGGCAGAGGTACAACTTTGCTGTTTTGCTTCTTGTGGCTGCTGTTTCTCCTCTGATTTACCAGTAACTTGATGGCATTTCTTTTTTTCTTTTTTTTTTTTTCAGAAAATAAAAGAAATCACCTATATGCACTCTGAAGGGATCCTGGCTGGTGAGCTGAAACATGGGCCATTAGCCCTAATAGATAAACAAATGCCTGTTATCATGGTGATAATGAAGGATCCCTGTTTCACCAAGTGCCAGAATGCTCTGCAACAGGTCACTGCTCGGCAGGTAGGATATTTAACTACTACAGTGTCAGAGGAAAAGAGATTGTGCAAGAGATTGTATTGCTGCTGGCTCTGCCTCTAAAAAAGGATGTTCTGCTGATTTTGTTTTAATTATAAAGTTATAAATAAGGTACTACGTCTGCATTGTGGGTTGTCATTACAGGTTAAGACCAGCAGTGAAAAAGATAGCATGTGGGTCATTTATTTGTTTAGGTTTTTTTTGTTTTGAAGCAAATGGACTAATGTTAAAACTTTGCAAGGTGAAAACATTCAAGTCTCACAATACAGTGAAAGGCAAAAGTCATTAGACTGGCATTGCCTTTGTTAGATACTTGAGTGACTTCAAACATAGACAGGCATGCTGTGAACCGATATTTCAAAGCAGTTCTAGGTTGGCTCTTCACTTACCAGTGCAAAATTGTATTTTCAGGGTCGTCCAATCATTCTGTGTTCTAAAGAAGACACAGAAAGCTCAAAATTTGCCTACAAAACCATTGAGCTCCCTCATACCGTTGACTGCCTTCAAGGAATCTTGAGTGTTATTCCTCTTCAGTTGCTTTCATTCCACCTGGCTGTTCTCAGAGGATATGATGTAAGTGCTTTCTATATTTAACAGTCCACTTAGTGCAGTTTTGAACTTCCTCCTACCAGTGTAAAGTGAGAGACCCAGTTGTATGGCATATGTAGCAGAGGACTTTGATAACAGTTAGAGGAGCTTATCATGACTACGGTGGTACAGGTGGCATTTCAGTGCCAATTCTTCAGTTCTGTATTTTTTAAATTGCTACCCTTCTAAAAAATGATAAAGATCATTTGTTAATTTGATTAGTTAAGAATAGATGTGGGACTTTTTAGAGAACTAAATCTTAAAATGTGACATTGTAGCTTAACCTAAAATAGGTCAATGCTTTCTACAGCTTGGTTTGCTGATGTGTAGGTGTGTCAGTTGGATAATGATGATGGCTTTGGAGGGTACCCTGAGCAAAACAAATCTGTATTTGTTAGGAGGGTTTTGGAAGCAAGGATGAATTCAGCTGGAAGTCATTATCTGCAGATCTATAGTCTGTTGTGTGTGTTAATGTGCCTAGAATAAAGCAGAACTAATTAGGAAGTCTGAAAAAACACACTAAATGAACTGTCAAATGCAGAATGTCAGTATTACTCTGTCAATACTGAAAGTCTGTCTCTTCGTTCTAGGTGGACTTTCCAAGAAATTTGGCCAAATCTGTTACTGTAGAATAACAGCCAAGAACAGCTGATGTTTTTGTCACCAGACCTCTGAGTTATACTTGTAGAAATGTATTGTTCTCAACTGATAGGTACATGTTTTTTCTAAAGAGAATGACAGTGCTGACTGGAAAGTGTCAAAAGGATTTACCTTGCAGCTTAAAAAGCTTTTGATGTGCCTTGTACCCAAGTGCTTTTGCTCACAGCAAATATTCCTCTAAGTCCTGGAATTGCCAAAGAAGATAAAAATTGTTTACACATGGTATACTGAATGAACTTTTCTACTGTGCAATATATATATATGTACAGCTCTCTCCAGAGTAACTGTGAACATTTTTTTAGCCTACACTACTTAACTAGTTTTAAAGATATAGTATTTATAACTACAATTGTATAGCTTTTTTTTTAAGTTATTTTTTTAGTACATTGCTTATCTGTAACATTGTTAATGCTCAGAATGTAAATACTGAGCATGTTGACACTTATGTACAGTTGTTGGGGATTTCTCTTCTTCAGCCTCAAACTGGAAATTTGTTGTCCCTCTTCCTCCCCACCTTTCTCTCCTCCCCTTTACATCTGTGTTTCATATTTAACCAGTCATTTGCAAAGTTATTCTGTGGCTGTAAATTCCCAGCTATGTTCTAAGTTTCTGCTTCTTCCAACTAATTTGAACATCTAGAACATCATTTGTTTTCTATGCCACCCTAGCTCTTATTTGCATAACATGTACGGTGCAACAGAATAAGGGAACTGGATGTCTTTCAAGTGATATTTTTGTTTGAAGAGGGTACAATGAAATTACAATGCTATTAAAAGATGATATAATTCTTCTTGTTTTGTGGCTTGGGTTTTTTTTTGTGTGTGTGTTTTTGCTTAATTGGTTTTTGTTTGGTTTGGGTTTTTTGAACTTGATGACTCCACATCTCAGATCTGAGATGTTTTCCAGACGTGTACTGACACAGCAGTGTCATCCCTGTAGGTTCTACTGTTGTTCACACCAGCTGTTGATTAAACCTTTGCTTTCTACCTTCTGCTGAGGTAGATGAATGTGGAAAGAAATTTCCTGCAGGTGAAAAGAGACTCTGTGCCTGTGTTTTTACATATGTTGCTCATGGTCATAAAGTTGCCTCCTTGGCCAGGAAGAAGTTGCCATAAATTTGCATTTAATATATAGTATCTAAACTCCTGATATTAGAATTTATATAAAAGAAACTCCAACACCCTATACTGGCACGTAAGAGAATACTCAGTACATCTTCCAGCTAGGGATAAAGTCCCATTTATTAACATATACATTTGCAAAAGCACACTGTGCTAGCTGTGAACTAACTTCCAGTAGGGAAGTACTTATAAACCTCCAAATAAATAAGGTAGATTCACACATGAAGTCCTCTGCTCTTTAGTGTTCTTTTTTTTTTTTTTTTCAAATGGTCAGAAAGCATAATATTTAATTTTTCTACATTTTATTAACTAAAAACTTGACCAGTGAAAGTTTCTTTATGCTGTTCCTCTGCAGGTTGGGTTCTTAATGGAGTTGTTTGAATGCTTGTGTAGGTTAAGAGCTTGAGAGTATCACACTGGATTGTAATAGGAGCTACTTATTGGAAACTGGTATAGTACTTTTAATAACCACATAAAAGAGCTCAGATCATAACGAAAAGCATAGTGCTAGTCTGACCTAGGTCCCAAGAACATGTAACTATGTATCTGACATGTTTTGGTAAGTAATGCAAAGGCCCCTTTTACTCTCTGTCTAGAATTAGTATCGTCTTCATATTAAAAAGACTAAAAATATTTAAAAAAAAATCAAGGGATACTGATGTCATCTAGTCTGTATAATACATTAAATTGACTTATTAAAAAAATTACGTGTGTGTTTTTCTAAAACCATTGGTTAGAATAGAAATCACGGGAATTGAAGCTCTCACTAGTCCTCGGAGAGGTGGAAAATTGAGTTTATTTTTAGACAGCACCTGTTTTAAAAAACAAGCAGTCCTCGTGTCAAGGGGGGGTGGCATGGTGAAGGGTGGAAAGGTTATGGTTTTTGAGTGGGGTTGAAAACCAACCCATGTGACATCACTGTGCTGTGCCACTCTGAGGGCTTCTTGTTACAGGGGAGGTGTTTCCTTCATGAAGGACCTCTCCCTGCAGCTGTGAGGAGCCACCAGCCACCAACCGGCCATGTCGTGGTGCTGCTGCTGTGAAGTGACGTCACAACCACACTGCCAAAATGACGTATGTTGTGATGTCATGCCTGTCGATGACGTCACGCTAGGGGCGGGCCGAGCTGCCCACCCTTCTCCACTGCGGTCCTTCACCGCCCTCCCTTATATAGCGGGTGGTAGGTCCCGCCCCCGAAGCTCGATTGGCTGAGCTCAGACGGCGTAGGATCGCGATTGGTCCGCGTCCCTGTCAGTCAGCGGGCGCGCCGTGCGGAGCGCCGTGCGGCCATTGTGGCCGGGGCAGCGGGAGGCGGCGGCCGCGGCCGGTGCCGCTCCGACCCAGGTGAGGGGGCGGCCGTGAGGGGCGGCGGGGCTGGAACCGGGGCGGGACGAGCCCTGGGGCGGCCGCAGCTTCACCCGCGGGCCCCGCCCGCCGCGGCGCGGGCACAGCCGGGGCGCCCCGCGGGCCGCTGCCCGGGCCCGGCCGCGCCGGAGGGACGTGGGGCAGCGGCGGGGCCGGGCCCTCCCTCCTGTCCCGAGCCCCCCTCGCTGCTCTGGGAGCCGCCTGCCCTCCGCCTGCTCCCCTCTCGCTCCGTGCCCGGTGCCCGGCGGCTCCCGGAGCCGGGAGGGTGGAGGGAGCGGCACCAGGGACTGCAGGTCCCGCTCGGTGCGGCCGGGGCGAGCCGGGGCTTTGGAAGCGAAGCAGTTCCTCAGTAGAAGTTTTAAGGGAGACGTGGGAAAGCTGCTCTCTCTCGGTTCTTACATAAACAGCGAAATAGGTTACGGCACGTTTAAAGTTTTTCCCTCTTCCCACCAACTTGCCTTGGCAGAGCGCTGAGGTGCGTGCAGTGTTTGCCTGCGGTGCGTGTGTAACAGCGGAGTGATGCCGTGAGAGGTGGTGGTAAAATCTTTGCTTGGTCGGTGGTGGTTTGGGTTGCTTAAAGAGGAAGGTCGACTTTTCCAAGAGCTGACAGCTACAGAGAACCTCTGAACTGCTGTAATCCCTTGGCATTACTCAGCGACTGCCTTGTTACACTTTCGGTTTGTAACGGGCTGTTCAAGGGCTGTGAGTAGAGGAGTAGGAGGTAAATCGCTCTGATTTGTAGCTGGACTCTTACCTGTTGATATACGTTCCTGTAAAGATTAAAAAAAGAGCCCAACACTGTTGGATGGTAGTCCTTAAAAAGGCACACCTGAATTTGAAGTACATTTGCAAAGGTGGATAAGAGAATAGGGGGAGGTTTTCTGCACTAATGTGTATGTCTGAAATAATATGTATCCTAATGCATCCGAGAAACTTGCAGCCCAAGTAAAAATTAGGACTCATCTTATGGAGAGGTACTTAGCATGGTGAATTGCTAAGAGTGTCAGAATACATAAAACTTGTGTGTTCTGATGCCTCGTTCCCTCTTTGGGTCTTGTCTAAAGAGTTTATCCAGATCTCTAAGTGATTTTTAAAAGTTGGCTTCATGCAGACAAGGATCCTAAAAGGGAGAATTTCTCTAGTTCAGGATAATTTCATTTTGCTGTATTTTTTTGTATCTCTTATAGACAAGTGTTTCATGAACCCCTGAAGACCTCAGGTACAGCATAGTTCTTGTGTAACAAACAGGCTGATAACCTGCAACTTGATACCCAGCTTATGCAAAATCTATGCTTTTTTGGTTTTGTCTGTAAGCCCTTTCAGAGAGAGGATCTTGACCTTCCAGCTGTACCTTTCTTCCAGTAATGAAGATTCACTGAAAATACCATGGCTGCCCAGGGACTGTTTGTCAAAAAATTTGGTACTTCTGAGTCCATAGCTTTGATGTAGCAAAAAAGGTTGGAAAAAAGAGTGGGGTTTTTCCTAGGATGTACTAGGAAAGGCTGGGAGCACCTCTTAAGGCATCTCTTTGGTCTCATGTTGGTGTGAGCTGGCTGGAACTGCATCAGACTGCCCCTAAAATTATTGTGTAGGGGATGTAATTCTCTTCCTCCTTCCCTCTGTTACTGCTGTGAGAGAGGCAGGAAGGTGGCAGCTCACATTTTCCCTTTGCTGGTCCTTTCTCCTCTGCTTTTGTCTTAAGCTACTAAGGGGAAATGCCAAGTAAACTGACTGTCTAAATTGCTGCTGGAGATGACCCAGTTGAATATCTGCTTTTTAAAATGCTGCATAGATTTTGAGAAACTAGGTGAAAAGGACTCTAGACATTTCTTGAGAATGTCTTAAGACTAACTTAACTACTAGCAGTTTGATTTTAAACTCCATCTTTATTAGGACTTGTAGGTCTTCAATTAGTTTTATTGCAGATTCCTCGGAGTTCATCTACTGGCTTAAAACATGGAAAAGATGTTGCTTCCTCCTACGTGCACCGAGGAAGAGGCAGGTCCAAATTCTAATTCTTGAAGCAACCCAAATTAATTTGTGTGACTTTGTGCCCTTCTAGGGTGAGTATCTGGGTTGCTCTTGAGGCTTTTCTGTTTTGCATTGGCTTACAAATGTTCTGTGGGACCAGTCAACAGAGGGGGCTGAGCTGCTCTTTCTGTAGCTGAACCAGACCACACAGGACACAGCTGCTCTCATTTCCTGTTTCAAGGAACTCTTGCCTGTGCAAATCACTTCAGGCTCTAATGACACTATCTGTCACAGTGAATGCAAAATTAAAAATGGGAGGATTTGTTAGAGACCTCTTCAGTAATTACTGAGGTAATTTTCTTGTAAGGTTTGGAAGAGGGATGGAAGCCCAGGAAAACTGGCGGTCTGTGCTCTCGTTACTGTAGCACTTCAGAGCTAAAGAGGTTCAGTCCATTACTGTGCTCTCTGATGTAATTACTTACCTCTAATTCATTCCTGACAGATGGATATAACTTGTTCTCTATTGTGGCAGGAAAGTCTCCTCCAAACTGTGGCTCAGAACTGTAATTCTGTATCACTATAAGGACACAAAGTGCCAGCATCAGGGGTGTTATGGTGTGTGTAGGATGGGAGGGAGAATGTATTGGGATAGGTCTGGATCAGGGAAGGGTTGCCTGGCAGAGGTGAGGAGGCAAAGACCCCCTTGGAATTTCCTACTGACCTAGGTTGAAAGGGATGTTGGAGAAACTGCAGCAGCCACAGGGATTTGGGGGCAGTTTTGTTTCAAACCTGTTTTGCAGTTTTAGTCAAGTTTTTTATTAAAACCCAGTTTCCTTCTGTCCATGGACTCCATGGATTTCTGCTGTTGCTTTTATCTGCATTCTCAGTTTTTGAAAAAAACATAATTTTTAATTTTCTTTTTTGTAATACAGAAATCAATACAGTCCTAGCACATAGTAGTAATTCTAAGTTATGGAGTAGCCTTCAAGGAGTAGAGAGTTGTTGGATTTGGGTGCTTTTGTTTGTTTTTACAGTTGTTTACTTAGCTTTTTGGTTTATAGACTGGAGTTTGAACATGGATTTCCTTAAAGCTGTGAAGGCTCTAATTGGTGTCTGTCTGCAAGTATTTTTCATTAGCAGTGGTAATACAAGAAACTGAAAGAATGTTTGTTTAATGGTGTGCTGTTGAAAAATTCATATGTATTAAAATATGTATAATATATTTTCCATCTTGTCTGCCTGAAAATTAGTGAGAAATTGAACATCTGTTTCTTTTCTTTTTCTTTAAGATCTTGAAAAC